CCTCGTAAAATCACCTGCGGCTATGTGTGGGTGTCTGGAAGTGTGTGGGGGCGTTGCGCGGCGCTCGGGGTGTGGAGAGGGCAGTCGCCGACTGCCACGACCGAAGGCATGGCAGTAGTGAAATACACACATCAAAAGTGTCTAGGGATCAAGCATTTTTATGCGGATTTCTTGAGATTGAGATGTGGCTTTGTAATAAATTTATGATTTTATAAATTTATATGGATCCTTTTTGGTGCATTTCATAATTTGAATCAGGAACTGTGAATCAAATTCGAGTAAAAGATGAAAATCAGCTGTCAATATTTTCCCTATAAAAACATACAACGCATTGAAGACATTATTAGTGCTACTGTTTCCCTACTACTGATTAAAACCAACGTTATTATGGAGCGGCGACGTCATTTAAGCAGGGAAGAAATGCTCAGAGCCGTGGGAATGATAGAAGCTGGTTCCCGGCAACGTACTGTGGCTTTAGCTCTGAATACAAGTCAGAGTGTTATCAGTCGACTTTGGACACGATACCGAAGCACTGGTACCGTGGCTGAGCGCCATGGAGGACGGTATCGCTGCACCACACGGAGACAAGACCGATACATTCAAATCTTAACTCGAAGAGCTCCAACAATAACCGCCATGATGTTAGCCGTGAGGCTTCATCACTCTTCAGGGAACTTAATTAGCGACCAAACAGTCAGAAACCGCTTGCATGAAGTGAACCTTCATTCCCGAAGACCGCTACGGGTACCACCTATAGCAATGCACAATCGTAGGATTCGATATCAATGGGCTCTTGAACACAGAAATTGGGCAGAAGAACAATGGCGTTTCGTGTGCTTTTCTGATGAGTCTCGTTTTGGTATGAGACCGGATACAAGACGTATACGACACTGGAGAACCCCTGGACGCCAACAGCGATTAAAATCCTGCCAGGAAGTCCACCCTTATAGTGGTGGAACCATCATGGTATGGGCGGGTATTTGGATCGGCGGAAGAACTGAGTTGATTTGGATCAGAGGCAACCTCAACGCTCAAATTTATGCTGAGACGATTGTATCAGACGTCATCGTTCCTCTACAAGTGCAAATCGGTCCCTTATTTCAGTTAATGCATGATAATGCACGACCGCACACCGCAAGAGTTGTAAGACAGACTCTCGCCGCAGCTAACATCAATGTCCTGCCCTGGCCTGCTCAGTCGCCAGACTTGAACCCGATTGAGCATGCATGGGATATGCTACAGAGAAGAGCTCTGCCGAATATGGAGGGTATCCAGTCGCAAGAAGACCTTTTTTTGTTGTTGCAACGAACATGGGCGGCCATTCCACAGCGTGATTTGGATGAACTCATTTTGAGTATGCCAAACCGATGTTCTTGTGTTGTTAGTGTTCGCGGTAGAAATACGGATTATTAATTGTTTAAGTTACCCAATAAAATTTTAGAGAAAACTGTTATTTCAGTCTTTTTTTCGAACTTTTGTGTTAGTGGTTCAAATGTCAAAAATCCCTTTATTAGGAAAATGGCAAATTTCTTTATTAATGCAAAGGTGACTTGGTTTATCGTTACTGTGACAAACGAAAACACTTTATTTGATGAATCCTTAAAGAAAATTTTAATTAATATCAATCAGGAGAAAAGTTATTGCAAAAATATATGTTGATCCCTAGACACTTTTGATGTGTGTAGTAAAATAATAGTGTTGCACTGCATGCACGCACGGACTGCCAACGCTACACAATCTTATTATTAATTAGATAATAATAAGAATTATAAAACGAATTGAAAAAGCAGAAAATATATAAGAGTAAGCAATTAGTAATACTACCTACAATAAAAGATTATTCGGTTCAACCCTAGCGCATACATGCTCCTGCTCAAGGTCAGTAACGCTGGAACTCTCACGTACAGAGTGTCACCGCTGTGCTATTGGTCCCAGCTGCATCTGCAGTTTTTAGTTGTACCAATGTTTACACAATGCCACTGGTAGATTAGGGCCCTTGTTCCATTCATTGTGAAGGTTTCTATCCTAGCACTGTAAATAAATTAAGTTGATTGATGAGAAATGACAGTTTACAGTTTTCTTGTTTGTCTTTACAAATATTATACTGAAAATGGCTATAAAGGTATGATTGATTCACAATTTAAGCTTACATTGACTTTTGTTTTTTTTTCAGATACTCCCTTTTATGCCACAATTTAAAGCATTTAACATTGAAACTGGCACCAGTCACTATTCAAGAGTATCGTTGTCTCCTCTGCTTACAACACTTCGGAGATCAGACACATTTCAAAGACCATCTGAAAGGAAACTGCCAAAATGACATACAACTAGTAAACCAATATTTGCATATAAGAAAATCGAAGTCGTTACATCGCTGCCATGTTTGTAGTAAAGTATTCACTTACAAAGCTTGGCATGGACATTTAACACAAGTGCATGGGGATGCGAAGTTTCAGTGTGATTTATGTGGTATGAAATTTAAAGCTAAGCGATATCTGAGGAGACACATTCTGTATGTACATGAGGGATTATTGAGACACGGTCCTAAAAAGACAACAAAGGCAACAGAAGATGTCAAATGTAGCCAGTGCCCTGCAGTGTTCAAACATAAGATCTCGTTGCATTTGCATGTGAAAAATTGTCACTGTGAAAAGGTTCAATGCGACAAATGTTTGTCTATATTGAAGAAGTCAAACTTGCCAAACCATATCAGGAGGGTGCATTATAACGATGGAAAAGTTCATAAATGTTATTGTGGTAAAACATTCAGGTCCCCCAGGTATTTAAAGGTGCACGTTAAAAATAGTCACAGTAATAAAAACAAATGATGATGGATTTCTTTGTTGATTCAGTATTAAGATTTTTGTATTCAATCAAAATTAAATGCATGTTGTAAATCAACAATAAAGGCTGAAAAACAAGATTCATATTTGTAACTTAGTTAGAACTAAATTAAACTTAATATTCTTTTTATAGACCATAAAACGTTATCCCACTCAACCTTGTGTTAAGTGTGAGTGGAGCTGGGAAGATATGCCATAAGTCATTTATTTTTTATTTACGTATATGATTTGATACCAACCCTTGAAACTTAACACTACCATCATGTCTTCACACAATATCAAATGGAAATAATTGTGGGTTATCTACAATGCGAAAGATGGCGCTGCCATGCAACCAAATAAATACTAGAGAAAATTCGACACGGCCATAAGGCCGAGGTAGCATAATGGTCGCGTCTAAAGTATAATATCAAATATACATTGTGGTGTTGCAGTGTATAAAACAACCTTAAAATGTATTTGTTGGAGTGCAAAACCTGCCAAGTTGTACATAACAAGGTTGTAGAACTAAAGTTGGTTTCATTAGGAAGTATGTTGCGTTGCTGTAGTCACAACCTAACATTGCATATTATTTTTTCTGTATTTTAAGTACCTAGTTTAAGTAGGTTTTTTTTGCAACAAAGTGTGCTCAGCTAATATAACTGCCAAAGAAATACTTAAATGTGAACATTATATAACAAATGATTTTATATATCAATCAAATGATTGTATGGCAGTAATGACAACAATTTGTGTATACTTACATAGGCAGAGGTATGTACCTGTATGTACCCACTATTGCATTTTTTTTATACCAATAATACATTTATTTTTAATAAGATGTACTATTCTAGAAATAGGGACCAATATCCTCACCATTATAAAGTATTATTTATACAGTTTGAAAATAGTAGTTTGGTTAATTACAGATTAGGCACCTTGGCCTAAAACTGCAGTAGTTGCTATGTCTGACATGATTATCTTAAAATTTTAACTAAGAGTTTTAAGATTAAATGATCATGGTTGGTTCTCAAACTGATGTCTTGTGACAAGGGTTACCATTTGGGAATTTCAAAAGTCCTGACCATTTTTCACAAAATTTTACCATTACTCACTTAGTTACAATGTTTTGGTATTTAAATCAATACGTACTTTTAATATTCATATCCAATGTAATTAAAAAATCCAGAATATTTAAAGATCCGGCCAACATCTGGACTATTGTCAAAAAGTCCGGACTAATCCGGACGAATGGTGACCCTTCTTGAGACATAAACAAGTATGTTTTTTTTTTATTTCCTGATGTTTACTGTTAGTCTTTAATTAAATCTTTATTTACTGTTATATTTGTTTCTTTTATTTCTCCAAGTGTTAAACCAACTACTTTGAGATGAACCTTAGAGTTTTTAAGTTGAAATAATGCAAATAAATTTCAAAACAGCTAATTTTATAATGTTTATTACTTACTACTGTACAATATCTACATAACTAAATGGGAGAAAACAATAAAATTATTCAATATCACGGAACTTTGAATGATGAACTCCTTTCTACTCATAAGGCGCTTTGCAGACGACGGGGCGGGGCGGGCCGGTCAATTTCGCCGCGAATAATAGCACAAAGTGAATCCTATACTTCAAACGCACACAGAGGGCAAAAAGACCGCGCCGCAGGTGCCCGGCGGGCAGTGGCGGCGCGGCATGTCCGCGGCTGCCCGCCGTGGATCATACAAACCAGTTTATATGCAGTAACGCAGACGGCGGCGCGGGGCGGTCAGCTCAGTCCGCGCCACGCGCTTTTTAGTGATGGACTATTCACTAGAACGAACGTCCTGAACTGACCGCCTCTGCCTGTCGTGTGGTTTGTGTACGCGGCGCGGGCAGCCGCTGACATCGACGGGCAGACGCGGTCTTTATTGCTTCGAGGACAAAATGCCCGCCCCGCCCCGTCGTCTGCTCAAAGCCTAAAACAACAACACTCTTTTTTTATACAACAGCAGCTTTTTTATAGTTTGCTTCCCTCTAAAACTAATCCGCCGCATTCGGAGATATTAATTTATTTTAAATTTTGTTCTGTTTGTTTTTGCTATAGCAATCAAAAAGCTTAATGTCACTAAGATAAACAATGAATTTCCATTGACATCTGAGTGCAGCTGCTTATGTAATATTATTAAGTAACTCATTCAGCAGTCTTCACATCACTCAATTTCTGTTTCTCAAACAACAACCTCAGTTTCTCAGTAGCCGTTATCGGCAAACGGTCATTAGCACCAAAGTGGGGATCTGGCAACTGTGCCGTATTTAATTCTGGATCCTTGAAAGTGAACGGTGTCCATGGTCCTTGTACTGATGGATAATCGGTGTACTGATATTTACGGAGTCGAAGAGAAGAAATGTCCCCCTGCTGTGTACGCAACACTTCTATCCATTTTGTGATTTCAGAATGTGTTTTGTTATGCACACTCATCCATACTCGGTCACCATTTACTGAAATAATATTAAATTTAAGATCTTTAAGAGGAGTCAACCCTGGTTTTCTTCATTAATATAAAGTATAGAAAATTAATCAAGTAAAATTTCCTGGAAATCTAAAACCAATTTTAGTTTTATATGTTTTTTTGATGTTTTGTTTTAGTGGGATCTGGTAGGAGTAACAGAAGTACAGGGCCATATTTTAAAATCTGGAGCACTGGATCATCTACAATTTGCATTCTCAAAAAAAAAATCAGTTAAGAGACCTTTTCTACATAAATAAAATAACCTCTTGGGGCCTGGAAGTACAGTTTTACCTTAATTTAAATAAAAGTAGTAATTCTGTTGGACTTACAGTATTCTGCTACAATAACAGGCCCTCTATGTCTACGGGGTTTCAGGTAAACCACTACACTGGGATTTTCCTTGGCAAAATCCACTAGGTCTTGTTCAATGAATTCTCTGCAATAAGATGCGTATAAAAAAAGTTGATCCGAGTTTTATTTAAGTTATATTGAAAGATATTTAATAACAAAGCAGCCTAACCTTAAACCTTGGCTCGCTCCATAGGTTTTGCAGAACTTGAGCACAATTCTTTGCAACTGCGGAACGAAACGACCCACGCCGTTTTGTATAGGGGCTCTAATAAATCCAGATTTCAGAAAAAGGTTCTTATTAGACATGTTTTGTTAGAAAAAAAATTAAAACCTTAAAAACAAAATATTATTAAATTCGTTTTGAGGTTAAAATTTTTAATGACATTTAATTGTCAGTGTCAAATTTTTTTTTTAAATAAAGGTGTTTTCAGACTAGGCTAGAATATGGGTGTATTCCGAAATATACATCAGTATACTGGCTTAGTGGTAATGACGTCACGAATCCGACGCCATATTGTACTGGTATGATACCATATTTTTACCGGGAAAACGAATATGACGTATGACCGAGCGTGCGTGAAAATCATTCAAATTTTATTTCTTTTTTATTTAAAGAACAATAACGGCATCCGAAGACGTCATTAGTACTGACCAGTATACTGGTATATATTACGGAATACACTCTATATGTTTAAGGTTTGATCAGATCACGTTATTATTATTATATTACCCTATGCGTAGTCCTGACTGAACACACCTTTAACCATTGGAAACAACGAAACGCAGGTAATTATTTATTCGTATTTGACCGAATGCGTATTCTGGCAAAGAACAGGGTGATAACTGACTACCTAAGGTACCTAATCTGAATTAAAAGCTGAATACAGCTACGCGGAGGGCGCTGCAGCAACCTTACACCCTTATCACGAAGTAGACAAAGATCTACTTCTTGGAAAATACAGCAGTGTTTTTCTTACATAGTAATTAAAGATCTTTCAGATGCACAGTAGCTCCAAAGACTGACGTTTTAGACGCGACCAAAAGAGATGGCCGTTTGTTGAATTTGTTGCTGCCCTACATAAAAGCCCCCCTTATTATATGTGTGACGATTTTCCACCGCTCAAACGTTGGTCCATGTCGCCATACAGCCAGTGTCTAAAGTCTTGAGCACAGTTAGAAAGGGATGTCGCTATATATAGCACATAGCGATATCAAGTAAAGATCAACACTTACACACATATTCTTAGTCGTTTCCTAGAGATTTTCTCCACTCGACTCAACCTCTTTCGAGGAAATTCGTATGCTTAGACAACAAAAATATCCTTCACTTGAGATATTCCTCACTCGAGTGGAGGTTGAGTCGAGGAATAAACTATCAAAGTTAAGGTAGCTCTCGACGTACCATAATAAGGCTTCCTCGAGTGGTGTTTAAGATGTTTTCAAGTTGTTTTTATCGAGAATTATGTCTGATTTTGAGATTATTGACGATTTGTGGATTTTATGGATTACGTATGCGATGATGAACCATATAAGCCGGCGCGACGGTATTTACGTGACGCCGCAAATTCTTTTGAGGTTTACGACAATGATTCGTTTGAAAGAAGATTTCGGTTTAGATAGATACAGTCATACAAGTAATATTTCCTCTGCTAAGCATTACACTAAATTTTAATAACAGAGGACTACCTGTATCGCCTTTAATACAATTACTGGTGGCTTTGAAGTTTTACATGACAGGATTATTTCAAGTAGGTATTTATCTATGTTTGTTGTGTGATATTTTACTTTATACATTTAATAAGTCTATGCTTTTATGCTTTATACCGTTGTTTATACTCTCAGTGGAGGAATTCTCAAGTTTGTTCAAGATACCAACTAGAATATCATTTTCGAGGTTATTTGGAGGAACTCCTTAAGGAGCCCTCGAATGAATTTGAGTCGAGGAACGTTTGAGGACGCGACTAAGAATATGGGTGTTAGTTGTCATTCTTTAATACGGGCCTATGGCTATAGACATTCCGTAGGCAATGGCACATTAGAAATAAGTTTTCATTTGTTTTTACAATTATGTTCTTTTTATTATATTTTCTGTTTGGATTTATAGTTGTCATTCTAAAAAAAGACTTCAAGAGAAAATTTCGTCCATACATATTGTATTTATATAGTTGTGAATATTTCTAAATATAGTGCTCATATAGTTGACCAAGTATTGCCGTTTTATTTATTATACCGCTAGTGGTGAGCAGCGGTTAAACATCCCCAAATATGATACATGCTTACTGGCCCTTTATGTAACTCTGCCGCGCTCGAGCATCCCCACTTGGGCTCACCTACTATAAAATAAACTCAAGTGGTAGAGCTACTAATTTACCCCACCGATTAGGCTTCGCTTAGGTTGGCCTGTGAGGGTGCTGGTCAAGTGGCAAGTGAAACTCGCGCCGGTTTCGGAACCGATTCTCTGCCGGCTCGGGCCTCACGAGTCTCTAACGCGTCGATCAAACTTAGCGTTGATCGGCGCGGGCCAGCATCCACACACGCGTTAGCTCTCAAACAAGCTTCCTCGTTAGTTAGCATAAACGGCGATCGCACCCCGTTAGGCCCCTTACAGCAAGACCCTTCCGGCATTGCCTGCCCTCCCTACGTACGAGCGGCCTTCTGCAGCTCTTCTGTCCGATACGGGCGTGCCTCACTAGGAGGCCGTACCATCCTTCTCGCGCATATGCTCTAGTATTTAACTAAAGCAGCGCTGCGTCGCTTCCGATGAAGCCTTAGAGGCCTTCCCGGCCAGGGCCAGCCCCTACGGGTGTTTTTTAGTCACTACGAGTCTGACATAACCTTGCAGCAGGCTGTATTCGCTATGTGCACGACAGAGCGCCACCTACAATACGCAACTTTCCGGGATTATGCCAAATAATGACATCAGTTTGTATTTTATTGATTTCTAGTAAATATAGTAAATTAAAGATAAATAAAAATTATTATATATTGTATAATAATTTAAATACTGTCGGATTTCAATTCGGAATTTAGTACAGTCAATAATAACTCTTGTATTGATGTAATCTGGACTGAAACACTTGGGCATTGTTGCTTGTACGGTGGCTCTATTTGGCCAAAAGATTAAATTAGCAGTTGAACAAGCTAGATTTTGTAAGATCGAATGAAATATACGTGAGATTGTGGTTTTTTTGTACACCAAATAACACACTCAATGCTGAAAATATCAAGCCAGTTTTCATTTTTATCAAAAAAATCAGAAGTCGGTCTTTAGTGGAAACTGTACATTTTTTCATAGTTAATCTTGTTAATAAAAACTCAAAATTGCTAAATGACACACCAGAAGGATCTAGGAGTTCTTGATCATTTGTTATTGATGAAATACCAACAAATTCTTGACTTTTTGTTTCGGTAGATTGATCCTCATACGATTTTTTGTCAGTGCCACAGCTTTTATCTTTCTTTCTTGAATTATTTGTCATTAAAATTCTTGATGTTGGATTTCAGCATCACAGTGATCACTGTAAATTAATCTAATACAAATAAAAGTTGTATCTCTTAATTTCGATTCAGAAAACATATTGACTTGACATCCTTGATCGATCATAAAAGGTTGAGTTTGTTTTAATTCACTCCCTTCTTCAATTATTATTTGACTTGATGTGGTATCTGAGACTTTTGTGGTTCTTCGTTTTGTCAAGCGTGTATATCTAGCTAGGACCTGTGAATCATTAACGGAAGGTTAATGATTCACAGGTCCTAGTAAGTCTTTCGATATATTTCAGGGAATATCGAAGGAGCATAACTCGGATTTTCTTCTTCGTCTGATTTTTTGTTTCCCATAAAATGTTCACTACAAATTGTGTCGTCAGGTTTGGGATACCATGGCGACCCATCAACACTAAAATAATAAAGACAATAATGAATATCACATAAAATATATAGCGCAAATTAAATTGATCATAATTTAAGGTTATTTCGCTTACTTATTTCTTTTTATGGCATCTATCCATTTATTTCTTTGATTTAATTTCCAGTCCAATGTAGGAAATATATACACAGACTATTTGTGCCCTTATTTTTGCAATTCACAACACAACAACATCTATTAATAGGCATTTTAAAAAATTTTTGTTTATTACGAACTCCGTGCAAATTGACTTTACTTTCCCGGATTGTTGCGTATTTCTGCCACGATAAGCGCTGCGATCGCTTCACTATACCCCCACCATGTACTTCGCACATAGCGAATATCCATGAGGATTTCTCACCCGCTCCCCTGCCTGGGAAGACACAAAAAAAAAAGAGCTACTAAAGAGGAAAACAAAGAATTAAAGAAATCCCAATCAGATAGGTGGTATGTAGCCTTAATAATATATGAATAATTACACAAATTAAAGTATAACTTGATTTTATTTCAAATTAAAGACTAAGTAAAAACTTAACTCCTAAATTACTTTCAACTCTTATTCAACGTAAACTTAAATTTTACATTTGCCAATTTCCGTTGAGTTTCATTGTACCTACTATACTTTTAATATCTTGCAACGTTGATAGGACTGTTTAAATTAGACAATAAAAATAATCTCCTCATCAACAACAAATAACTATGTAAAAAAATGGTTGCCTGTAAAGTCGGTTTTACGGGCGAAGATTTTACGTGACAACGTCTTTTTCTCGGTAGAATATTTATTGATATGAATATAATTAAATTGCACAATAGGAACAAGGAATTGAATGAAAATAAGAATTGCACAAATTTTAACTATAGAAATATATTTTGTTTACTAAAACATTGTACATGTAAACTTAAACTCATCGTAACGTTACCGAGCGTTACACTTTTTCATAAGTGACTCCCAGCCGCAACCTAATTTAAGACGTTGTCACGTCAAAAAATTTACATATATTTCGATTTCAGTTTTTTTTTATTTATTGTCCAAAAAAATTCATAATTTGGCCTCCCCTTACGTTTAATATCAGTATGAGGTGTCGTTAGGCTTTCAATTAAAATAGAGAAAAATTGCACTTAATATATCTTATTGCACTTTTGTTTAGGGTATTGCACAACTTTTAGATAATTTTTTTTTATCCAAATTGCTTAATACCTAATAGCTTTAATAATTTACAAATTACCTACTAAATTAAAAAAAAACCTTAGCTACCTATATGGCAAATGTGATCTGTCAAATTGTAATAATAGGTAGGTAGTTATTTTCTTTAAAAATGTCACACACAATTAATACTTTAATTACCCTTTACACTTCGTTATTTTTACACCTGCAAATGAATGGACAAAAGAGTATAAAGTATGTCTTATTTTATCACGTCCACTGACAAACACACATACAACAATACTAGTCATTCATTAATCACTTGTTGCTTTATACATATGAAAAGGATTCTATAATATTTAAAAAAAAAGGCATTTAATTGACCGGAAGTGGTAGACTAGACCAGAATGCAATAAAACATTACCCTCCTAATTGTTTGTTAGCTTTTCGCGCACATCACTTATTAAATAAAACAATTTCAACGGGTTAGATGCACTGAATTTATTTATTTATTGACGTTTCGCATCCTTTGCAGGAATGTGTCGTCGTCAGAATACATTACACTCTTTTTTTGGGCAGTTGTGTAATTAATAAAAAATGTACCCCTTCCCTTCTACTGGTCAATAACATGCCTTATTCCGTGAAAAATATAATACCTTTTTTATTAATAAGTTGTTTACATTATATACTTTTTATTTATTTACTTAAGTAAGTACACTCTTTTTTAGGTTGTTTACAAAAGTGAGGCTGCTCACACTTTTTTCAAATTCTTGAAACGGAACACGAACTCAGTAAAAACCTATGGGTTTTAATGCATGTTATGTTTTGTTTCAATTAGATTAGAGCAAGCCTTAACGTAATTATTAGTTGAAAATAAATTTATTTTTTATGTTGTTCACCATGTACAAATATCACATAAACAATTAACAAAACATGTTAAAATGCTTAGCCTCTCTTTAGTTTCAAATTTTAAATAAAGGACAATCGGTGTATTTTTTATTTCCCTTAATAATTAGTAATATTTTTGACTACATCCCCTCTCCCGTCAGCTGCTTTATCCTGATTGGCACTTGCACGGCGGGGAGGTCAACGCTCTTGGATCGGCGGCGGCCATCTTGCTCGTCGTCAGCTGCTTTGCGCGTCAATGGCGGCAATTCGGGCAATTCGGGGAGCGTTGGGCGTCTTCGCGCCATTTCCGGCGTACGGAGAGTTCCTCCTAGAATTTGAAAAGTATATTGAAATACGTATATTTATACGTATCGATAAATTGCCTTTTGCATAGAGATATAACCCTTTTACAGTGTGTCGTAACGACTGCCATTTTCAACATTTGCACCATTCTTGCTACCTACGTGACATTATTTTATTTGCTATATATAAAGGTGTTTCTTGTATTATTTTATTACATACTAGCAGCGGTGCCTTTTTAAATAATTACTTCAATTAGTTTAAAAATATATAAGCTCTCGATATGAATGGAAATAATCGTGAATTTAATTTGTGGGTAAAACGAAACTGTCAAAATTCTCGAAACCTACAATTTTTATAAACACATTTTACTTTCACGGCAACGGTATTTAATATCGTTGTTTCACGGCCACATTAAAAGAGCAGGGTCTACAAAAAAGGAAAATACTGAGCCAAAAAAACTCGATTTAGGCGAACTCTGTAGGGACCTAGGCGCCTAATCAAAAAGAACAATGAAGATTTCAGAGATATGTATAATATATCACTGAACTAACTATAAAGCTTTGTTAATCACCACAACAAAGAGGCCTAAGCTGTAAAGCCAAATGAAATGGACACAATATTAGACAGAAAGATAGAAATAGTAAAACTTTTATTAATCATATTAAATTAATTACATATTTCGTTAGGAACAACAAATTTTATTTACACATAAAACACACATATCACTTATTTATTTATAAGTTTTAAGAATCCCTGAAACAGATTTTAATAGAACAAAAGGCAGAAATATTATTTTAGAATGAAAGATTGTGTTTTGGTGTAGCAGATGGCGGCTTGGAATTTGATACTTCAGTAATTTGTAGAGCTCCTTTAATTGCAATTTTATAAATTTTTCGCAGTGAAGCGAACAGATTTTTAATAAAAACTTATCGAATATCAAAAAAAGAAATTAAAAAAAAATATCACAAGATCTGAAAAGCCGTTACACTAACATCTGGGTTCACAAGTTTAGCTACTAGATAAATAGGGGCTTGATGATTTATAGGTAATATTTTAATCTTTATAGCTGTGGAATGTTATGTGCTATTTAATGAATGTTTCCTGTAAGGTGTCAAGCCGATATGTGGTTGGTAGAGCTTGACCTTTCAATTAAACCATAGGGGTTAAATATATATATTTAACAAGCTTAAAAGAAAACTATTCTATTTATGCTTGAGTTAAAAATAATACTGAAAGTATCAAATTTTTGAGCATGATGACTTTTGTATGTAGGTGGTGTAAAATGACACTTATTATGTAAAATTATAGACAACTTGTGAAGCGCAACAGATATATAATTATATTTACCTTAATGAGATCAGTATGACAAGGGTAAAACACAATTCATTTGTGTTCTAGAGAGCAATCTGTTATGATCACAAACATAATATTAATAATTTGGATAAAATGTTCTTAGGACGTACACACAAGTTATTTAAATAAGTGAGGTGTGAAGTGAGTGGTGAGACTCTTAAAATATCGTAGAATTTTTAACGCATTTTCTAGCAAAAGGTCTCTTTTTGGTTCTAAGTATATTTTTTATGTATGTTTGTAATATATTTGTACTTTCATTTAAACTATGCCCCGCAAAACTGCTTACGCAGTTTGACTGCAGGTAACTCGCTTTTTATAAACATAGCTTCTACATTTTAAATTAGGGTTTATTATACATACCAACCAAGTCAATAAAAATGTTCTTTAAAATATTCTTAATATTGTTTATTGTATACCTACATATCTGTTTGTTTCTTAAGGATTTAAAAAGTAATCGTTAGGTACTAAATCTCTAAATTAATTTTAATATTTAAGATTCTACCTTTTGTTTTTCGAAGTCTTGCTTTGTTGGGTTAAACATTATTATTACTTAAGAACTACGCTATGGGTGCGTGAGAGTAGAGTACGGGTGTATATTGGCGTATATTTTTTGGCGACCTCCGTGGCCGGGTGGTACTCGTATATACGCCGGGTTTCATGGCGTTCGTCCACTCAGAGGTTCCGGGTTCGAATCCCGGTGGGGGGCAAATGTTAGTATGATGGATGCTTATATATATTTTTCAAGATAAAATATACTTATATATGTATTAGTACATATATTATATCCGTTCCCCTAGCATCCCGTTACACAAAACTACAATATTTACTTTGAGACTAGGCTAATTTGTTTGAGTGTGGCAAATATTTATTTATTTAAATCACTTATAGGGAGGCAGGGTGGGCCAGGCCTACCCCTAAGCAGGATGTTGAGTAATCAATCAAAATTCTAAGTTCATTGGACATCTCAAATAAGAGGCTAGCACGGCCAGAAAGGTAATGACTTTCAAGTCTCAATTCATTTACAGAACTAAATAATCTTTCATTTATGATCCCTTGAAACATAGCTCTAGGTATGCCTAAGTGTCGACGCACACGGACCACACGCCACAGCCACAAACGCCGCCACGAGAAGCTAGAAGCGGCTACTAAAGTGGCTGAAGCGCGCGACCGCGGCCGACGGTTAACACGTGGTGAACACAAAAAAATGCTTAACGGTTGTTTAGGAGATAAACGCTTGTTTAAATGTTGGTGAATTCGGGCCTAAGGTAAGGGAGTAAGGGGTGGGGAATCGCGCGAGTGACGTGTGGTGGCGTTTTGTATCGGCGCATTAAGTGGCCGGTGCGGGCCACAAGAAGCGAGCAACGACGATTTGTAGCGTGTGGCGGCCAACGGCGTACCGTGTGTGGCGAGTCCATATAAAATGTATGAAAACTACAAGAAATATGCCGGTGGCGGCGTTTTGTGGTTGTGGTCGGTGGCCCGTGTGCGACGACACTTAGTGATTGTATAGTGTGTGGTGTGGTGCAGTCATATGTAGTTAAAGTGTACATCCATTCTTAGTGTATGTGTATGGGTGCAGTAAAACCGTTGATATGGAACAGATATACAGAGAGAATGGAATGAGCATGCCTTAGCAAGCTGAACTTTAATTCGAACGCGCTCGATAATTCAGTCTGTTTCTTTCACACTTTTCTGTCCGTTGTTAGTCGCATGATAACGCCGACTTTCCTTCTAGAGAGAGAAAGAGTGATCGATTTAGATAGATAAGTCGTTTATTTGTATGAACAGCACATATTTACAGATAAAAAATTAACAATTATAATACACACTCTTCGTATAAACATTTTATTTTATAAAAACTCGGGTTACAATTAGTAAAAATGGAAAAAATTGTTGGACACAATCTCATTTCAACCGCTAGTCAGTATCGCACTCCATTTGTCCTTTTTTTTCTCACGGTCACGTGGTTCACGCGGCAGATTCGTATCCGCCAATCACGAGTGAGGAAGGCAAAGGCCGCTCTTTGGTACAAGACCACAGATTAGCGCGTTATACAATCTATTAATAAATACAAATTAAAATCAAAGGTAGAAGTAAAAGATAGAAATAAAGTGTGCCGCAACGATACAAAATGGCTACAGCTCAGTGATGATTTTTCGCAGGGAGCGAAAAACAGATTTTCAGCTGTAACCAAGTACCTAAATGATGCTAACTATAAGTACTCTATTCAACTTTCTTCGAGACAAAATGTAAACAAACCATGAAAACCTCTTTCAATAGGTTAAATTTTATACGCATATAAAATCACAAAACAAGTGCATTAAAAAGATCTAAAACTATAGCTATTTCTAAACTTTGAACGCATTATAATACTACTAAACTAAGGAGTAGTGATAAAGACAATAATTTACGTTGAAATGGGAAATTTTGTAATCAGTCTTGTTACACTCCGTCATGGACTCCCGATAGAAAAGTTTTAGAAACATTGGTTTTATTTTATAAGTTGAATACAATTTAAATGCGGGTATATTCTCAGACCATTCTCTCTTTAAGTATGTTTATGGTGCAGTCACTATAGTGCGTGCGAGTGGCTTACGTCACATACCCTTGAAACATAGCCCTAGATATGCCATATTGAGAGTATTGTGCAGTCGTATAGATATGAAGACCATTATTTCTGCGGGTCTATTATGCTTTAGTGATATAATCCTAATGTGATGTGAATATGATGTTGATGCCAAATTGACATTGTTTTTAAATGGTAGACTGAAACATTCCTATGTCACATCAAGATCATATCAATATCATAGCCTGTATCACATTTTTGACGTATATGCGATACTGTTTTAAGTCAAAAAGTTGAACGTAATACGCATAAGTTGATGTCATTTTGATATCGCATTTTTCGGAGAGCATAATACGTAATGTGAAATTGACATCAAAACAATATCACAATCAGCGAGCATGATTGGCCTGCTGTGTATATGTGAAAGTGTAGTAAAACCAAAGATATAGAGAGAATGGACAGAGCATTCGTCACCAAGTTGTATGTAATATAAATTTGAACGCGCTCGATCTCTCGTCTCTTTCTTTCAAACTTCTCTGTCCATTGTTGGTCGCACGAATAGCTTTCTCACTCTTTTGAAGGATCTAGAGAGTGATCGACTTAATAAAAGTATTTGCTCAGTTCATTCTCCCTTTAAGTATGTTTATGGTGCAGTCACTATAGTGCGTGCGAGTGGCTCACGTCACATACCCTTGAAACATAGCCCTAGATATGCCATATTGAGAGTATTGTGCAGTCATATAGATATGAAGACCAATATTTCTGTTTATATGTATGAGTGTAGTAAAACCAAAGATATAGAGAGAATGGACAGAGCATTCGTCAGCTGTATGTAATATAAATTTGAACGCGCTCGATCTCTTGTCTCTTTCTTTCAAACTTCTCTGTCTGTTGGTCGCACAATATCGCTTTCTCACTCTTAAGAAGGATCTAGAGAGTGATCGACTTAATAAAAGTATTTGCTCAGTTCATTCTCCCTTTAAGTATGTTTATGGTGCAATAGCAATTGTGCGAGCGAAGCGTGTGCTCACCTATAATACATTTGGTTGAGTGCGTGTGGCTCACATCACATACCCTTGCGTCTTGGCTCCGTATCGTTGGCTAATTGTTGTTGTTCGCAACCGTCTGCGCGCGTACGAGCGCCTAGTTTAGGCGAACTGTGTACACGAAACCTTTTTATGCTGGCACTTTGTAAGGATATTCGTGTTCGCTATTTGTAAATTTGACAGCTGAATTCCTTTTATTTTCTTACAATAAAAATGAATCCCTATTTCCCTTGGGCTGGGTCACGGTATAACTTGAGAAAGACTTTAACCGATTCCGTCCGTCTTTGTTTTTAATTTTCGCATATTTCTCTTTTTTCCTAGATGATTAGAGGTTAAGAAAGTTGCGCGGAATACAAAGTGAAAGTTAATGAGGGTGGAACCTGCCGGCCTAATTGTTAATTTTTTTGAAATTTACAGTGGTGCCGATTCCGGCATGATTCTCTAAACTTAAAGCTGAATTTTACATCAGTCTCTCCTTTTCACTCTGTATAGAGAATGACAAGGATACACTGTTGTCAAATATAAGTTTAGGTTTAGAGAATCATGCTAGAATCGAGACCAGTGTGTAACTAAAGAGAAAATTGCATATTCATTGATGCTTTTCGGAACAAGTATAATAAAGTGACGTTATAATAAAGCAGTAGTGGATCGCTCAATAGCTCGGCGATTATCACTTATCACTTATCTGTTTTTGACAGATAGTAAGCGAATAGGCCTACAGGTATTGTCTATTATGTATTCGGTGGTACCGACTACATTTTATTCGTTAAAGAAAATGATAAAGGTCCGTGGTCAAATTTACAAATAGCGAATTCGAATAGCCATGTGATGTGCTACTATTCATTAATTTAAAAATATTATATTTAGGGATATAACTTTGGCAATGGTGTTGATTCTGACAGGATTCTCTAAACTTAAAACTCAATTTGACATCAGTCTGTCCTTTTCAGTCTGTATAGAGAATGGCAGAGATACACTGTTGTCAAATTTAAGTTTAGCTTTAGAGAATCATGCCAGAATCGACACCAGTGGCTGGTCATAATAGGTTGGTTGACTATTTATTGATCTTTCAATACTCCGTGCTTCGGAAGGCAGGTTATACCTTTCTTGCTCATACAGCTGGGCATCTGCAGTTATTAGCACCCACCAATTCGCACTGAACCGCGTGGTGGGTTTGAGTCCCACTAACCCTGCAATCCGAGGTCTGTAGGGAAGGGAAGGTCTGTGCCCTAAAAAGGGAGATTGGTGTCAATTCTGACATGATTCTCTAAACCTAATCTTCACTTTGACAACAGAGTATCTTTGTCATTCTCTATAATAAATAAATATTTCCAACACTCGCACCAATAAGCGATATATTATATATTGTGTTATGAGATACTAGGGTAACGGATAGAATACATATACTGATACATATATAAGTGTATTTATATAGAAATACATATTAAACATTCATGAATGGAGTATAAATGCTCGTATCAAACTTCTGCCTTCCCCGGGATTGGAACCCGGGACCTCTTACGTAAGCGAAACCATTGAAACCCGACGTACAAACCACTCGGCCACAGAGGTCGTCTATACAGAATGAAAAAGAGATACTGCGTGTTCTTAGTTTTGAGTTTAGAGAATCATGCATCATCGTCATCATAATGATGATAAGGATATATATTGTTGACACATTTACAACAATAAAATTAGCAAATACGATTAGCAATGAGCAGTGTTAAAATTAAACCTGTAACATTATCATCATTAGCGTATCATGACCCATCTACTTCTTCCTTTATTCTCAATGAGGGCTATCGCGTATGAATCCGCCGCTAGAGGCGCTAGTGTAGCGTGAGGTCTCCGAAATGTCAAATGTTATTGCTTGTTGGTTGACTACGCGGGTTTATTTCTTATCAAAATAATGTTGTGAATAATTGGTAACAATTCGGCTTAATTATGGCAAATATGAGTTATGTGGCAATGAATGTCAGTTATTTAAAATTTGAGCTTAGAAAAATGATTATGTTCCCATTTTTTCCGAATAAAACGGAACTGGGCGTCACTGTGGCATGGCCTATTATGTTTAGGATATGGTTCTTTTGTGTTAAAATACGATCTAAATGTAACCTTTGATTTCATGTGCGTATTAATAAACTTTAAAAGTTACAATTTAGGACCTCACTCAACAGTGGCGCCATCTGGTGAGACAGAAAACGGTAGCCCTCATTGTTCGATTCATTAGTTCGATCGTCGAACTACTGAGATTTTATTATCTTCATTTGTTCGACCTTCGTCGAACTTATTTTCTTTATTTAACCATTCCTTCGACGACGTTCGACGAAAGTTCGACGATCGAACTAATGAGAATAAAGGTACTCCTTCGCGTTATTTGTCCGGGATGGACTCCTAAAATACTGAATCGATTTTAATCAAATTTGCACACCGTGTGCAATTTAATCCAACAAGAAAGAAAGGATAGCTCACATCTCAATTTATAGTCGCAATATATGGAAAAATTATATTGTAAGCGGTACAAAATTCGCTGGGTCAGGTAGTTTAGTATATATCACTGCCATTGCTATATGATTATTCGATAAAATACTACTGTAGCAACGCCAAGGGCAATGTGTGTTTACATTATCGCATTGTATTGCTTCCCAATCCTACTTAAAACAATGGAAATGAGAGAGAGTTGATGAAAGTGACCGGGACAGCAACAGTCGCATTTATGCATAGCTGGGCACCGTTAATCAAATAGTTAACTTCGTTAATCCGTTACAAAAAAAAAATACTTCGTTAAACGTTAAAACGGGACTTTTTGGCGGGATCGGGGAGCGTCACTTTAGCAGTTTTGTTTTTCTTGTTAAAAATTGTGTTGTGGCGGATGTTAGTGTCTAATAATGGTGGATTATTAACCACTAAGTGTTCGGAAACATGCACAAGTGTTGGCAAGTGAAACAAAATAGCGGAAAGTGTCTTTCAACGTTCCCTCGAGAGGTCCACGGGGAGGTTCCAGTAAATCCCCACACCTTTACTGAAACATAGGGAAAGGGGGATTGACTTGACTGCCCCTTACTTTGACTTGAGTAATATTTTGACCACGAGTGCTATAGAATATGTAAACATTTACATTGCACAAACCATAAGCCATATAGAAAAAAAAACGTTACATTACGGAAGATTTAACGCAAGTTAACGTTAATCGTTAATCCGTTAACACGTGATAAAAATGCATTTTTGAAGTTATACTTCTTTAGCCGCGTTATGAAAAAATTATGAGAGTGAAATTTTAAGATGCGCGCGCATCACTGTAACACAAAAGTAATATAATGAAGTTAGCCGCGGCCGCGTTATGAAAAAATGATGAGAGTGAAATTTTAAGATGCGCGCGCGTCACTGTAACACAATAGTAACACCATGAAGTTGGCCGCGGGCGCGTTATGAATGATCGCGTTGTCAAAAACAATGTTGGCACGCTCGTCGCCTCTTATCACTGTTTTCATATTTATAATATTTATCCACATGTTTCTAGTTTCTATATAGACACAACGTGTTTTAGTTACTTACAAGTGCTAATTACATATGGACTAATAACTTAAATTCAGTAGTGATTTTAATTGAATATTTTGAATATTTATTTAATTTTTCAAATTAAAACTGAACTTAATTGACTGTGTTAACTATCCTTTTCCAGTCCTTTTATTAGTTTATTGTAATTATTAATTATTTGCATGCAATTAAAAAATATTTTTAATGATGCTAAAGAAGTATAACTTCTCACGCGCGTACATAAGTTACACGCATCCATTTTTTTATATCGTTCCGTAAGTAATCTGCTTACAGAAACTGTTGTCTTGGGTTCTGGAAGTTAATAGGTTAATAATAGGTACTGAATTAACGAGTCCGTTAACATTTTTTAAAGTTAACTTAAAAGTTAATCCGTTAATAGAAATGTTAACTTCGTTAATTAACGATTAACGGATTAACGAGTTAATGCCCAGCTATGAATTTATGATATTAGTATAGTTGACATGCCGCATATACTTTGGAAGAGGGGAATGCTGCTTATAGCTACTCGTCTTTTCTTTGTGCTACGATGATGAACCAAAATATGTAAATTAATTAAGGTCAAGATTTTGCTAATATATAAGTAAATATAGATAAAGAACATTTTACTAGAAAAAACTTCATGCGGGCCAGGCAGAAGACAGGACTCGAACGCGCAACCTTCTCTATCCGAGAGAATGCACTGAACATTATGGTACTGCGGTCCTGATGGCCGTGTCTAATTTTCTCCAGCATATCTAGCAGTTAAATGCTTTAAAAAATATAACTATAATTGCTATTTCTTCTTTCAAATGTTTAGTACTTGTAAAGGTATACAATTGCCAGCCGCATGAAATTTTTTCTAGTAAAATTTTCTTTACGTTTAAACATCTAGCAGTTAAATGCTTAAAAAAATTAAAATATAAATGTAGATAATTTAAAAGTTATACTAACCTCTGCTCGACGAGTATTTTGGTGAGTCTCGCCACTTCGGCCCTCAACTGGATTATTTCCTTGTCCTTGTTTCTTAGTTCTTGTTCAGCAGATCTCTCTCGAGCCGATAACCTTCCCCGCATGTCGTCGAAGCTGTTGATTAATAACAGAGAAATATTTATTATTGTACCGGTTAGCTTATTATATTAATGGTTAAGTATCAAACTGATTTTTTTATATTATATCGTAAGTAAAGAAATTTTTTACTAGAAAAAATTCAATTCGGCCTTGAAGCCTCCTTCAAGCTTAAGAAAAATTATCAATATCGACACATCTCTTTACCAACTATGGAACTAGGACAGGCAATGAAAATTTGCACAATCGGAAAAGTCAGATCATACCTGTTCAAATACATTATAATTATACAGGAAAAATCTGAGATATTAATTAATAAAAGTTTATATGGAGAAGCAGTGAAGAAAGATAATATTTTTTACTTGCTGCTTGTATGTGCCGCTTGAAATTTAATTTTAGATTCAGACACAATTATGTGTCCATTGTCTCTAAAGTTAAAATTAAATTTGACAACAGTGCATCCTTGTCATTCTCCTTACAGAATGAAAAGGAGAGACTGATTTTAAATTATTTTTACACCAATACTCGTAACTTTAACGGAACAGCTAAATGTGTATTCTATTAAATGAAAGTCGAATATAATAAAACATTACTGTGTCTTGTACATCAGCTATTAAAAATACTCACAGCTTTCTAAGACATGCGCACTTCCTAGTCAAATGTTCGATCTGCTCCTTCGACGCCCTCTCCACCTGCTTGATCTTCGTCATATCCTCCGATCTCTTCTCTCTTAGCTCCTTCTCTCTCGCCAGTGCCTCTCTAGCGTTAGTAAGGGATATTCGGAATAAGTTTTTTAGGGAGTAAGAAAATTTTCAAAAGGCTCGGGATCAGGGTCACTTCTAGTGTGCATAAGGTGTGTCAATAATTTTGGAGCCTTGGTTTAAAAAGTAAAGTGTCAATTTGAAAGTCTTAAAAGGCGGGTTTGTCTATGGTCACATTTTGAGAGAAGTAAAAACTTGTAGATTTGAATTTTATAAAATCTTTATTTTAAACTTCGATAAAAGATAACACACATTTTATGCTTTACTTTTAATTATTAATAGAAATGTATAAAATTAGAAAATTTAATAACGTATACGTAGAATGTTATTGCGATCACAAAAATTGAGCTAATAATTTTGACTAAAGATGAGCAGCGATGACAATAATGTTCCTACTTAACTACTTATAATGAATATTTAAAATGAATCGAGTATATAGTTGTATACTTAAATAACTGATTGTTATTAAAATAGCCAAGGAAAACGATTCAAAGTACTTGGTCTAAAAAATCTTGAAGATAATTATATAGATAGATATCTTTAAAGTTTTTATCATAGATTTCTTTAAAGATAGTTTAAAAAAAATACTTTTTCCTCTTTACTTTAGACTACCAAAATTTAAGTGACACTGCATAAAAACTCAGTTTGAGTTTTTATCAGGTACGATTGCAGAATAGTAAATATCCCATTTCACAAAAACCACAAACAGATGTCAGCCTAATAAATATTACAGAATTGATTTTTATCAAAATATACAGGTTGTTGCATTTCTTGGCCTTACTGTGTCAGCCTGAGTAGTTATAGTCTGTGCGGAAAGAGAATGGGATTTAGATTGGAGGGCGCTGTAGTACTTTTCTACCGTATTTGTAAGGTTTTACCCCTTTTAGACATGATTAAATACAAAAAACCGCAAGAAATCACAACAACAAACAAATCCGTATCAATACAAAACTTTGACGTTTTACAGATTGCTGGGTTTGATTGCCAAATAAAAATCTTAATGTTAGTTCCGTTTTGCGCCACGCCCATTCCCTTTCCGCACAGACTATACAGGACTGACGATATCTTTAATTTTACTTTTGTTAACGTTTACTTTTGGACTACGATCCTAAAGATCTTTCTTAGATACGAATCAAAGGCCACCTGCATAAGCGGGCAAAAGGGGCCAGCTGAAAATCAGCTTTGTGGCTTATTGTGCAACACAAGCTGAGCTGGTCAATCCTTTCGGCTGTTTATTATTAATTATGTTTCTGCTAATATTTGTATGACATTTGAAACACCGAATAAATATTTAATACTATATACTTTACTTTAAAATAACTTAACCTTATCATTTTAAGATAGGAGAGAGCATATCGTCGGAGAAAGTTGTAAAGAACACGGTCGTATAATTTATTACAGGAATAGTTCTTAAATAAAACTAAAACATATTTAATATCATCTATAGTCTTCTTCAAGATTTTTTTTGATTATAAACTTTTAACATTTTAGCACAATTTTATTTGAATATTTATAATGACTAGACAGATTATGCTAAATGTCTCATGAGCATGTGAAATGTACCAATTAATGACCATGGGCAGTATTATAACAGGATAAAAGCATTTCGTAAGATCAAAGCTTAGCAAGACTGAGCAACTCCATTAAAGATATATTTAAACGCTACCGACATTTCATTAAAAGTGCTCATTTGGCATTTGGTTAGTAAATTATCATCTAAAAGTCCACTATAGCGTAGATTTTAAGCTTACATAATAAAAAAATAACAAATTACTATATTGCTCTCTGTATTCCATTCATATCAAAGGCCTGTGCCCCAGCAGTGCGGATATATACGTTGTAATTTTTACATAGAACAAACATATCTGAGATGAGCGGCAGACTTCTTGAGTCCTTGAAAATCACAGACAAATAAACTTGCGCAGTGGATGTTTTTTTAAGTTAAATTGCTACTGTGCAGGCTTCCTTGTCTATGGTCGATAGTCAAGTTTTTGTTTGCCGGTGTGATGCTAGTTTTACTAAGCTTAGATATATCTGTTCTCCAAGATTTGTATAGGTAAAGAACATGTTATTAGGTCTTTAGCAAACATTTGATTGCTAGATTTGTTAAGCTTTGATCTTTCTATTGGCCAAGATTTGCATATAGAACACGAGTGCGAGCGAGAGGAACAACGTGGCGAGAGTGAGACGCAGCGAGCCGGTGAACGCACAAACGCCCCCGGCCGCTATAACGGCGCCAACAGTTGTGGCATTCGATGTGGATGGAACGCTGTCAAACAACGGCTATTTTGTAACGTAACGTTTTTTACGTAAGGCGATTTATGATGAATTTATAGCTATTTTGTTGAGAAATCATAATTTTATGACAAAGTTCTTGCTAATTTTACTAAGCTTTGATCTGGCAATGATGTGGATGGAGCGCTGTCGAGCAACGGCTATTTTGAGAACCTATTCGTTTATTAAGTAAATTACGTATGGCGATTTAGTTGGGATGGTAGTTGACCATGAGATTTTGATATCTAAAGATAAGTTTTAGCAGAATATTTCAATTCGGCTAAGGTATTATTAAGTTCGAATCTAACAAGACGTCCTTCGAAATCCCGGCTATTCCTACTATAATGCACGAATTTGATTTCTTATACAGAGTGTAAAAAAAAACCTATGACACAGACTTAAACTACGCATTCTGTACACCCAAACAAGTCATATTACAAAATATTATACGTGGGATATTTTTTTATTTTTAAGTTAAAAAAATACATTATTTTCCCAGTACGCAATGTACAGCGCGGCGCGCTACTGTGGCGCTACGCAAAGAATGTGCCTGTGTGTATATGTGTGCGTGTGTCTAAGTGCGTCGATAAAAAAAAATCTAAATAACGTTTTGAAAATATTAATTTATAAATCTTGAAAAAAATATTTTGGCTTTGACCTTCAATATCTCCATAACCATATATTTCCCAGGTATGGTCCAGAAGAAAAAATGATCGTCATGATGTAGAAAATACGTGGCCTTCGACTTCGTTATCGGTATTTTTACACCCTGTATATTTCTTGTGTATTTACGGCTGCAAGGCAGTTCCACTTCTTCACATTGCGATTAACTCAGATGTTAAACGACGCTGCAACTACTATTTAAAGTGAATTGAAATTACTAAAACTTCTCTTCGGATATTCAATTTCTTTTATAAAACCTTAAAGCGGAGCTGATCAAAGCTTTAGTATAATAAACTCTTGAACTGCAAGACTTCGTCTTAAGATTACACGTTTTCGGTGAATTTTAGCTATTATTGTTGAGAAATCTTAACTAATAACTACAACATAACTATATATATCTTTATAACCAAGTTCTAGCTAATTTTATGGAGCATGTTAGGTTTTTTTTTTAATTTCTTGTTTAATATGCATTGAAAAGATCTGCCTATCAGTCAGCTACAAGAAATATATCATTGTCTTCTATAAAATTAGATTCACGAATTTATTTACAACAGCCGAACACAGCGTAGACAAAATAGTATTCTTCGTTTCACCAGATAAAAACTATTGTTATATTATAAAAAGCATTCTATTAACATTTTGAAAACTACACGTGCTTTTCCGTCCACATTAAAAATTAATATATAAAAAAGTTATAATACTGCCTTTTGGACAACAATTTTGAAGAGGTGATAAAATCTGATGTGATAAATGTTTATGATGAAATGTAAATGCGGGTTTACTGTGAACGTATATGTTAGTAACAATATTATGAAGCCAAACAAGGAAAATGAATGAATTACGTTGATTTTTTTATCAACTCATAATTATGGCGGGAACAATTTTGACACATCATGCACAAATGGTAGCCCAATTACGTCCAAAAGACAATATCCTTAAATAAAGACTATTTGTAACAAACTAACACATATTAACAAATTTGTGCGAAGGACTAAATTCTGCTACCAATCAGAAGGTGTGTGAAGGGATCTACGAACGGTTATTTTATATTGATGTAATATGTTGTATCTTTCTCACAAAAACAATAGCAATGTTTCTTTAAAAATATTGAATATCGTCAGCAGAATATTAGTGCCCATCTTGATAACAGTGTTATAAAAACACTTGTTGGGTTTTTAACGTCCTTAGATCTCATATTGGTAATCTATGTAACTATAAGCTAGGGAAAATAATTAATTGTTATATAGGTAATAGTTTCGGTTCTGGCATGATTCTTTAAACCTAAACTTGAATTTGACAGTGGTGTATCCCTGTCATTCTCTACATAATGAAAAGGAAAGAATGATGCTAAATTTGGTTTTAAGTTTACAGAACCCTGCCAGAATCGACACCAATTTCTAGATAAAAAATATGTTTTTACTAAGGCTCATGAAAATGTAGCATTCAATATAAATGTTTTAATGAAAATCGAAATGTCATCCATGTATCACAAATATTAACATTATGGGTGGAAATAAAGGTTTAAATTACACTAAACTTTATAGACATTTTTTATGAATTCTAATCAAAATTCAGCATTCAAAGAAAATGTTTTAATGAAAATCGAAATATCATCCATATATACAAATATTTACATTATAGAAATAAAGGTTAAAACGCCACTAACCTTAGTTCTTCTTCTGTCACGGCTAATGTTCTTCCGCAAGCCGCCGCTTCAGTTGCTAGGCTATCGAAATCAACTGATTTCGATTGAAGTTCCGACTTCAATTCTATGAAAACGGAATTTGATAATAGTCTTACTCCAAGTCTAATGTGAGCACTTGTATTCTTAAGTATTGCTTTTTAATAAGTTTGATGTTTTTGTATGAATAATAGAGATACATATGATTGACATTAACAGTTTTATACTTTTATGTTACTAGGTGTGGCCCGCGACTTCATCTGCATTATTTAATTGAAAGAAAGAAACAAAGATAGAAAAATATTATAATTGGTTACCCATACGAAATTTAATCCTACATTTTCAATTAAATTTAAGTTGTTTATTACAGACAACAAAATGGTCCATTAAATCGTTAGTAACAATATTTAACTTAAATGCTATGTTGGTATATATTATTTTTAGTATTCATTCAATGTGTGTCTTTTTTAATATTATAAATAGAAAAAATCGTTACCAAAGGTCAAACCAAAATTAATCTTATATAGATTAATAAATATTCTACATTTAAAGTCATATTATTAAAATATCGTGTAATGTAATTTAATCTACTTAAATGTAAAACTATTTAAGTGAATTTATATAATCAATAACTATATCATATTCAACGTCGTATAAATCAAATGTCATTTTGCCTCCATATTTTTTTTTTACTACAATAAGTAGCCTAGTGTCTGTCTTCACACATTGGGATACTTATCGAAATTCAACATAATTGATTAAGTGGTTTAGGTGTGAAAGCGATTCAACCAAAAAAACTCACTTTCGCGTTTATAATATTACTCGTGGGTGCCCGCGACTTGGTCTGCGCGAAAATTTTGTTTCCCATACAAATTACCACCAACCTTTTCATCCCCTTTAAGGAAGATTGATGGGACTAAAACGTGTCTGCCAATATACTTCAATTACTCCGTGATCAAGGCGCTTGCAACAGTGCCGAAATATCGGAGACTCATAAAAAAACAAGGTACATGGTAACAATCCCGTTAATAGCTATAAAGACAGACAAACTTTCACATTTATAATATTAAAATATAATTTAGAACTCACCAGCTATCTCATCTAGCAATTCTCTTTCTCTTTTCACCCTTTCTTCATCTCCTTCCTGTCTACATTCCACCTTCATTCTTTGCAGACAGGTTTCCTTGTCGGACATAAATTGCTCCCACTGTTCATCTGCAAACAATAAATTTCACTATTTTTATGGTTACATACCTCAAAAGGAAAAAACGCAACTTCATATCTAATACTCAGGTCTACTGTTCCTTGGAGTCTAAAAAAATCCAACTTCTAAGCCAAAGCAATCAAAAGATACAGCCGTTTCTGCCGCAAATTTTGTGTATATTTCTCTAGGGTTCACAATAGGGTATTTGACAAGTTTTAGAAAACGATCTCACGTTATTGACTAATGTATACGGAGTCCGTAAAAGGGATATGTCGTGGCGTCACACGACTGTTATTAAAACGTCAAACGATACAATATAATGTCACTTTAACCGGAGTTTACTTACGTGTGACGTCATTTTAGGCTCCGCCAATAGCAAGCGTTTTGGGTCACGTGACAATAGATAAGAAAACTATTATCTTTTTCGTGGGTTTTTATTAAAATTTTGAATATTTTGTTTGTAAAAATAGTAAAAACCCCAGCCAATATTCATTCTAAACACAAATGCTAACAATTGGCACTATATTTTTAATACTGCCAAATACCCTATTATGAATGGACATCTTCTTCTTCGTATCGTACCGGTAACCCAAGTGGAGTACCCGCATATTTTATGTAAATATCATTACTATGGTTAAAATCTGATGAGTTCTTTTCTGATATCAAATGAGTTTTAAATTCATCTGTAACTATTAAAGCATTGTTTTTTTATATATTGCTATTGCTATCTAAACTTAACATTAGCTTCTCCTTTTCATTCTGCATTGGGAATGACAAAGATACACTGTTGTCAAATTTAAGTTTAGCTTTAGAGCTTCATGTCGGTATAGACACCAATACCTAAAAAATTCTTACCCATTTCCTGTCTATGTTGTTCTTTCAACTTGTTGACTTGTTCCACTCTTTCAGCAATGAGTTTCGACCGCGTAGTTTCTAGCAGCTTCTTGGCTTCGTCTGCGGCAGTCGACGCCTGTTCTTCTATTTCTTTTACTTTCTCTGACCATTCTTCTATTAGACGTTCTGAAATTTTCAAATCATATTTGTTATTTTAAAGCCCTAACTTTTAGATGATTAAATATTAAGAAAGTGTTACTAGAAAAAAATCCACGCGCACTAGGCGGCACACGGGATTCGAACCCGCTATCAGGAAGAACACACTAACCAATTATGCTATCGAGACATTATTGGCCGCGTTAAATTTCCTGTAGTATTTCTGAGGCTCTAAGGCAGCGCCATCTCTTCGCATTGTAGATAACAATAACAATGATAACAATGTCAAACAAAATCAAATACCTTTACAAGTATTAAATATTTGAAAGAAGTAATAGCAATTTATTACTTTTATTTTAAGTATTTAAATCCCAGATAGATGTTTAAATGTTTAAAGAAAAAATAAATCGGTGGATGTTCAAGTTCCGTCTGCTGCCTGACCGTGTGAAAAAATTATATTGGCAAAATTTTTTTTAGATATATAAATATTTACCGTATTTTATAACGCACCTTTCTTCTTCTCAAATCGTTCATTCATCTGCTTCACGTTAATGGCATAGATAATGTTAGCTTTGTCCAACAGATGGCGTAGCTGTATTATATCCTAGCTAGTCTTGCTTTTAGCTTCTGATTTATTGATCGTTATCCTATATCTTACTGTAATAACTCACCTTTTTCCTTCATGAATCGCTCGTTCACTGCTCCAGGTTATTTGCTTACGTAATATCAGATTTGCCCAACAGATGGCGTAGCTACATTTTATCTCAGACAGCCTTGCTGTTAGCTTCGGATTTATTCATCTTTATCTTACTGTAATAACTCACCTTTCTCCTTCTCGAATCGCTCATTCATCTCTTTACGTTATTGGCGTTGATAATATCAGTTTTGTTCAACAGATGGCATGGCTGTATTATATCCCACTCGGCCTTGCTATTAGCTTCAGATTTATTGATCTTTATCCTTTATCTTACTGTAATAACTCACCTTTTTCCTTCATGAGTCGCTCGTTCACTGCCCCACGTTATTTGCTTAAGTAATATAAGCTTTGCCCAACAGATGACGCAGCTGCATTATATCCCAGTCGGCCTTGCTGTTAGCTTCAGATTTATTGATCTTTACCCTTTATCTTGCTGTAATAACTCACCCTTTTCCTTTTCGAATCGTTCGGTCATCTGCTCTACATTATTTGCATGGGTAATATCGGCTTTGTCCAACAGATGGCGTAGCTGCATTATATCCCAGACAGCCTTACTGTTAGATTCGGATTTAATAATCTTACTGTAATAACTCACCCTTTTCCTTCTCGAATCGTTCGGTCATCTGCTCTACATTATTTGCGTAGGTAATATCAGCTTTGTCCAACAGATGGCGTAGCTGCATTATATCCCAGTCGGCCTTGCTGTTAGCTTCGGCGATGGCGCACTCGAATTGACTCTCCTTACTTGCGAGCACTTCTTTGAGGTTTTCGAACTAAAAAATATAAAAAGGGTGGGAGATAATTAATGTCTCCACAGCTGTTGCAATACAAAGTAGTTCTTACGTCGGGAATACAAGGACAGAAAGTAGAAGCCTGCAGTAACATCCGTGGACTTCTGGCCTTGCTCTTAAAGATGAGTTGGCAGGACTGATGGTATTTCTCAAGTAAAATTGGAATATAACGGCTTTAATTCTATTATTCTCTAAACCTACAACTTAATTTGACGTATCTCCTTTTCATTCTATGACGATCATCACAAGGAGAGGATACACTGTTGTCAATCTTAATTTGAGAACAGCCTCTCCCTTTTGTTCTGTGACGAATATGACAGAATTCGACTTTAATTTTAGATGACAGATTCATACCAGAATCTGTGCAGCTATATTGAAATATATTTGCCACTCACCCTGTTGGTGACCTCCCGTAGCTTGTTGTTGATATGCCTCGTTTCCTGTTCGTTCGCGGCTCGCAGTTGCGCGAGCGCCGTTCGCGTGCGTTCGGCGTTCGCGCGCTCCAAAGCGGCCCGGTTGGAAGCCCAAGAAGAAGCGTGTTCTGCTTTCAGAGTGTCTATGGTTTCTGTGTGACGCTTTTCGAGTTTGTCTATATTCTAAATGAAGAGGTAAAGAAGAAAATTAGTAAGCACAGACTATGCACTATGCAATTTTAAATAAGATTGGAGCATTGATTGGGGAAAAGGTTTATTCAATTTCTTTATTGCATTGCGTCATACTTACTATATCATTTGCACCTAGAAATTTCGTTTACTCACCTGTAAATGCCTCTCCTCCTTCTCTCTCGCGATTCTCGCTTCTTTATCCAACAGCTCCTTCAGTCTGTGAACTTCTAATTTCAACGCTTCTTCTCTCGTTTCAAGTCTGTGAAGCTGTAACGTCAACGCTTGAACAGATTTCTGTTGTTCCGAGGCTAAACCACGGAGTTGTTGCAGTTCCGCTATATGGGTGGCTGATGGAGGAGCTGATTTCAACTGTTCCACAGTTTCCGATAGCTGTTGAAATGAATACAATAAGAGAATCTATACATATTATAAAATGGTAGGAAAGTCAAAACTGTAGTCAATAGTTTGTAGAATTTTTGACTGTTTGTATGTCCGGGATACACTCAGAAAGTTCTGTATGGATTTACTACAAATTTGGCACGAATATTATTAAGAAGTCGGGTCAAAGTATAGGCTACATATTACCACGCTATCACCTTCGGGGAACGAGCAGTGAACCTTTATTTCTAACTAACTCCACCCGTACGAAGTCGCGGGCGGCCGCTAGTTTATTTATAAATGTATAATTTATTATTGGTTCCATAATTGGAAGTAAAAATTGGAATGCTGAAAATGCAGCACAAAGGATTTAACCTTGTATTTTGATTTTGGTATTTAAAATTGAATGGATAATAAGGAATCTTTATGGGCGGATAAACATTGCAGCCGTTGAAGAAGCAGATTTCTGCTATTCCACTGTTTCTGATATCTGCTGATAAATAATGTTTATGATTAGAGAATTTAAAATTTCCAAGAGTGAAAGTGAAAATGGGAATGTTGAAAATCCAGCTCGAAGGCCCAAAAGTTGTAATTTGAATTCTAAATTAAATGGGAAATCGGGAATGGTTGTAATGGTGATGTCAGTGCTTGCACAGATCTTTGATGTTCCGAAACTCAACCCCGAAGTTTCAGTTCAGTAATATAGGCGTTTGATGGAGGGGAAGATTTCATTTATTCCACAGTTTCGGATAGCTGTTGAAACGAGTACAATAGAGTTTTTTTTGGGTTGGATTTAAAATATTTTTCAAGATTTTTTTAATTAACTGTGTGAAAAAAGAAATATTCTTACTGTCTTCTTCTCCTTCTCCGCATCTCTGGCCTTCTTCTCTAACTCTCTCATCTTCCATTCGCAGTCTGCCAACATTCTCTCCGCTCTCGCCGCCGCTTGATTTCGGGCTGCTTCGTGAGCCGCCCGCCATTTTGCCGTGTTCTCTTCGGCAGTGATTAAAGCCTATAAATTAAAATATTGCGATTCATTTTGACACGATTCTTTGAACTTAAAACAAAAATTTCAGGGAATTTGATACAATTTGCGATTTACTTAAACTAAATTTAGAGTTCGAGAAATTTTAAGAACCAATTCGGTTTAGTGAAATTGTGATAGTGTAAAAGTTACAATGTAAATTCTCATAGAATCATTAAATACTAAATCTATCAATCAGGATTTTATTGCAGTAAATAAATGGTAATAATCAGTTTTATCTATAATACGATATAAACATTTTAAAATCGTCACATAAAGTAAAATTCGTTGTAGTTAAGGCATTTACGAACATTATAAATGGAGATCCCAAGTAAAGTGGACTTAATATAGACCCCTGTGGGACTCCAGAAGTAACTTTAGTAACCTAAAACTCTGTAACTTTTATTACCTGTTGCGTTTTATTGGTAATATTTTGATAAAGTACTATCTTATCTTCTTTCTTACTCACCTCCTGAGCCTTCTGTTCTTGTAGCAGTTTCTCCTGCTCTAACCTATCCCTGTCCCGCTCTAACGCCAGCACCCTCGATTCCAGCTCTGCTCTCCTGTTGTGTGCATCTTCTAGTTCTGCTCTTAATTGACGGAGTGACTCATCTGAAGTAAGTTAAGGAGAAAACAAGAGAGTTAGATTGTAAATTTTGAAGATCAGTGAATAATGTTACGGATATGAGTTTTTAAACATACATACATACAATGCAAGTTAAATAAAAGCTTTTAAAAAGACAAAAATCTCCTTCGATTCTACTTCTGCAAGAAATTATGGTCAAACATACAGAATTTAGGTTTTTACATTTGTGTCAAAAACGGTAAGTTTACCGTGAAAATGGGTTAAACAAAACTTGTAGATCCTACAAATCTCTACAAAAATGATTTCTTTAGTAGCCAGGAGGCATACTCCACGATCTATTGTGATCAAGAAAGTTTGATCAGATCGTATTCATTGATTCAAAGAATGGTACTATTGCTAATAATCAAAGTAAAATAGGTTGTTTTTCCCTGATGTTATTATAATAGATTATTGTTTATTTGTACTTCAATAATTATATATTCATCTTCACTTTTCTCTCATTGCAGAATTTCTTTACGCTGTTCTAAGAAAAGGGATGCATCAATGGCCTCTTCATTAATGTCATAAATGTTTTCATCTCTTGCATTTGATTCATTATTGGAGTAAGTTTGGCCTTGACAATTGATACATACTGGCGCACTAAATAATCCCACTTTTGAGAGCCACAATTATCACTACAAGCCGTCTTGCAGTTTCAAAAAAATAGTATTTGCTAATTTCCAACTCCATTACTCTGGGTCCAGCTCATTTCCTTTTAGCCAGACTTGAAGTTGATAATTCATACGATACAAATGTTGAAAGGCAGAAGCAGATGTTGGAGGCAAACAAAAACATGAATTTTCCAACTGTTAAAACAGCGATATATCACGAATGGTGAGTCGTACGAAAAATAGGTGTCCCAACTATTTTTGTAGATAATTGTATGATCTTCACCTTGCGTTTAACCTATTCTCACTAATAAAACTTATCATTTTTGAGAAAACGTTCGTACGTTCGTCCTTGGATTTTTTTGCAGAAGTAGGGTCACAGGGGATTTTTGACATTTTCTTTATAATGGTGTATTCAACGTCTCTACCAAGCTCTTTAGCTCTTTGCGAATTTTGGCTAAGTTATAACCAATTTTTGTCTATTTTGACTTGACTATAGAATTAATTCTTTTTTTCCCTTGTTCTTGGGAGAAGTGTATTTCATGCTAGTAAGTATAACTCCAACAATTCTATACGTCTATTATTATGTTTAGCCTCACCATTCTTCCTCTGCAGTTGGTCCGCGAGGTCGGCGGAACAACTCCTTGCTGCAGACAACTCTTCTTCTAGTGACCTGCTGCGCTGCCGCACCAGCTCCGATTCTTTGTACGCTGCGGCGAGTTCGCATTTCAACTCTGTAAAGAAAAAGATATGCGTTCAAAGTCAAAATTCTAGTTGGATGCATAATAATATAACTCTTTCAGTCAGGCCATTTTCAAATCTGGAACGGGTCACTTAAGCCCCCCCCCCCTCTATTTGGTGAGCCATGTTATTTTTTTGCCTCCACATCAAAGAAAATTTTATTTACTTTAACCAGTTTATAACGGAAATAACAGTCATGATAATAAAGAATCAGAAGAATATATTTTTAAATTAAAGTTTGTTCTTCTGATTTTTTTTTACACAAATAAGTCTCTATCTAATTACATAATTACTCTATATGGGTATAAATACTAGAACAATAAAACTAAAAATAAAAACCTTACAAAATAAAATTAATAACTAAAATATATTATTAAAAGGAGTCCCTTTAGGCAAAGATCCGAAGATACTGGCAGTGTTACCCCTTTGAATGGCTAGACTAATTCTTGTCCGAGGTAGCTGCCAGCTCTTCGGTCCCCTGTGATGACGACTAACCTTTATGCTATTTCCTTAAATAGCCTTAAAGCGCTAAGACCCCACGGACCAAGGGTCTTCGGAGCCTAGACCCTTGTATTTGCTTGCTTTTGCTTTTTCAGCCGCTTCAAAAGCCGCACCAACTCTGTAGTTGGTTCCATGTAGATGGGAAGGGGCCAGCGTGTCTGAACAGGTTGCATCCCATACCAGCACCCGACCCATCTTCAATGGAATCAAACTCATAGGTACCGTCTGGTCTCTTGCCATTGTCTCTTGCAATACCAGTCGGCTCAAGTAGATTTGGCACGTTGACAGTGGCAAGAGACCGGCGTATGATATCGTTAAGTGCGGCATGTCTCGGGAAGCTGCCTGCACTTTTTTGACATGAAAGTCCGTGATGTCCTAGCTTGTCGACATCACTGCCACAGGGACATTTATGAGGAGCGCAGACCGGGACTGAACGTCAGGCTCAAGAAATGTTCCTGTATTTGACGAGGGGTACGCGTGAAGCCAGTAGCCGGCCTCGTGCGCACCCACGGCCAAAAGCCTAGCACGCGCCGAATCTGTACTACAGCTCATTATCATAAGTCAATTTACAGTTTATATCATCCTAACTCCTCTGTGAATTTGACCTGGGCATGCAATTAAGAAAGCGTTTCTAGCTTCTTCCAATCTTCAGCCCGCAATCTCAAAGTTTGAAGGGGATGCTCTTAAAATTTTACTTAAAAGATTTGCTGAATTATGGACAGAAGACAGGAAGGCTGGTAAAGCGACACTGGAAATTTTGCGAATCCCTAAACCACCATAACGGATGGGTAGGGATGCTTGGGTCCAAGATTGCTCGTTAAGCTGCATATTAAGAATCGATTCTAAGTTATTTTTGATTAAGTCGTCTACTTCTATCAAAAGATCTGGATGATTAAAAAAGGAGCAGCAACGGAGGACAAACGTAAATTTTTGGGACAAAAAGACAGAATTTTAAGATGCAAAGTGCATAATATGGACTAATTTCAAGGAGACGGTCAGCGGAATTTTGGAATTAATTAATTGAATTATTAATGAAAATATTCAGAAATAGATTCATCAAAAATTTAAGAACCTAAAAGGTAAAGGGAATTACTGTTAACTATTTTAATATTTGGAGCCAAAATATTAAATTTTTGTTTTACGTCATTTAAATTTAAGTCACAGTTATTTATAAAAAGTTCGCATTTGCTAAAATTAAGCTCCAAACAGATGGCTTCAAATTTGTTTTTGATTAAAAAAGGTCCGAAAACACAGTATCCACATCACCTCCTAGGGTTCCGTCGTCCAAGTACCAAACGTTGAATTTAGAATTTAATTTTTTTATTATCGGATTTATAGCCAAACTAAAAATTGCAGGCCCAAGGGGATCACCCAGTTGACAACTTACTTCCGAGGACAGTTCATTAGAACGATATAACAATTTTGTTGGGTCAGCGTAACTGAGAAGAAGATAATTGTATATTTCCGGTATATGTTGTTTTATTTCCGTCAGCAGGGTATCCCTATTTACCGAATTGGATGCATTTTTGACATCAATTTTGAGCAACACGTCAGGTTGTCCGTAAGTTAGAAAAGAGCGTAGGGCATGGACGGCTGCCTCACACCCTCCTTTTACACCAAAGCCTAACTGTACGGGTTCAAATTCCGAATTTAATTTTGGTAAAATATGTCGAACAGCAATTTTGGAGGCCAGACGTCGTAGTGTTGATCCAACAGCAATTGGTCTCACCCCTCCGTCCTTTTTGGTGAGGGCAATGAGGTTCGCGCCGAAAAGAATGGGAACAATTTCTTGATTGACATTACCGGAATACATAAAGTTGATTAGGTTAGTGATCGAATTTATAAGTTGCTTGCCTACAGCACCCGCAGAATGCGACGTTAAGTCTTTCAAATGTTGGGGTGAGATTCCATGAAAACATGCAGCCGAACCTGGTTTAAAAGATAAAATGGCATCCGTAACATCTGTGTTTTGAATTTGAACCCATGCTTACCCTGCTGTTGGTGGATCGAGAAAATATGGGTTTACTGGAGCTGGGGGATGTTTTGTTCGTAAGGCCTGAAGGGTGTCAGGGGTATTAGGTGATAGCACGTCGTTGGAAAACAAAAGGCGAGCGGCACCTTTGAGAGCTCCGTCACGAGCGATTCCGAGGGGCATCATGTTTGATTAGAGGTGCAGGAGAAAGCGAGGAGCTTACAGCACAGTTATTCTTGACCTTTTGTGTTAAGGATAAATTCAGTTCATTTGTTTTTAAGATATGTAGAGTGTTGTATGAAAATAACAATAGGTTCTGCCAGTCTTGAGAACAATTGCTTATGTAGCATTTCTGAATTAATTGTGATAAATGTGTAGCAACAGTTATTCGACTATGGGTATACTATTTTTCAAATGGCTAAGATATGTGTGGAAAGGAGTTGGATCGTTGGCTACATAATTAGGCGCACCCGGAATAATGGTATGGAAGTCTAAATGTGAACTATTTTGGCTAATACATTTCCTGTGTATATTTGTAGTGTGTATGTTGAGGCCTTTCAAAGATTTGAATGATTTGTGGCACTGTGTACATGTACGGGTCGTGTTCGACCTGCCATCACAAGATTGGGTCGCGGACTGCATTCACAAAACTTAAATACATTCACAAAAAATAATAAATTAAAACAAAATTAAAAAAAACACAATAAAATAACTTAAAAAGTGTACTGAAAATATAAAAAAGTCAAAGACAAATATGACAGCTGCTCGTTATGATAATAACGCATGCGCCGTTACATAGGTGCGTCACAGGATGGTCTTGGATTGGACGCAGTGAAAGAGAGAGACCTAGCGAAGCATGTCGTCGCTAGGACAACTGATGGCGGCCTTAGCAACTTGTTTTAATCTAAGTTAGCAACCACGTCTTGAAATTATCACACCCGGATTAGAAATTTTTAACCGCTGAACAGGCACTGTGGTGGAACAACAATAAAATCCCCATGCACACATATGAAAACCCACTTGATTAACTTTTATAAGCAGGTCTGAGCCGTCAGTAAATTATACTGGCTTAGAAATTCATATTTTAAGTGACCTAAGCCTGCATGTCACTATGTGTTTTTTATCAGCAGAATTGACTTCCTTTAAAATAAGATGATTATTGCCCTCTGAGACTCGGATCCCGGCTCTAGTTAGCCGTTGTCGTACGGGAAACACGCCCAGGTACGTATTGTACCTGGTTCATCGCTTCGTGTGTAGACCGGGTCTTCGCACTCTTATCCTACGGGTGCGGTGTCTGCCTAATGCTAAGCTAGGGTGCAAGTTTGCTAGCTGTGTAGTGTTGGTGTTTGTGGCCTGCGTGTGAGGAGTCGGTGGCGCGTTGGCGCGGGGGATTTCGTCGTCGGGGTATTCTAAGTCGTGCTTAGACCGACGGCATCGGAGGGACTCTGTGAGTGGAGAACGGGAGCAAACATTCGTGCGCTCTGTGGGCGCAAATCGCGACGTGAGTTTTGCTTTTGCGTTTTACCTACGGTGCCTTAAGAATTCCATCATTCTATCTATGTATCACTGAATTTTGATAAGGTTTTATGAACTCCCAACTCTTAGCTGGCTATGGTCTGGCTTACCAACTTAATTCTTTATTTTTGCAACAAAAAAAATAAAACGGTCTGTAGGGATCGAATAAGTTAACCATGTCATCCAACAAACAATCCAGATTCTAACAAGAACTGTACAACTAATTTGAAAAGCACTGCTATGAGCTAATACAAAATTTTATTTATACTGTCCCATAAAATAATACATAGAAACCTAAATTTCTTGCTCATTTCCCAGTAATTAGCACATTATCTGGAGTGGAGTCGGCGCGCGGTTCCAAACGGAAATAGACTACGGTCACACCCACATTAACACTCAGAAACTGTCGGAAAACTCTAGTATGAAGTAACGTTTAGAATTACAACATACTTTACGATTACATATTTCACTGAAATTAAGAGATTCCAGAAATTTGGCATCATTAAACGCATTTTACTGACTATAACCACGGCGAGTGTTCTGAGAAGTTATTTTCCCTTATCCCTCCATCATCTTTTCTTTAAAGGACCACGCGCGCTGGCTTACGTTGCCATTGACTTACTGTGGCCACTATTCCTACACGAACAAAGAAATTTGGTGACTCATTTCTTTGTCGTACTATTTGCAAGTGGAATTCTTTGCCCGTGTCTGCTTGAGCTTTTTTCTGAGAGGCATGAAGAAGCATTTTTGCAGGCCGGCAAGGTAAGGATTGTTGGTGTGGCAGTTTATACTTGCTGTACCAGCTATCTTCGCGTTTGGACTCTATCACCACTTAACATCAGGTGGGGTAAAGTCATTTGCCTACATGGCTATAAAAAAAAATCTATTACAAAAACTTAAACTACTTAACGTCTAAAAAGTATAAAATCAGAATTATGTTAACACAATAAAATACAATTTACAAAATAAAAAATAGGTATGTCACTCCTAGCGGCGCCGCCGCCA